AGAGAGAGAGAGAGAGAGAGAGAGAGAGAGAGTGCATCATTCTTACTTTAACCCTAAATCTGAAACAAGTTACTAGATCTAGATATAATCTAGATCTAGTGTCCAGTTGTTTTAATTTTTTTAAAAGCCTTTGCCAAAAGCTGGGATACCTGGGTGTGACAAACAAGATCCAAAATCAACGTAGGCTCACCCTGTGCGAACAAAATTATTTCTTATTCGCACACCCGGTGTGAATAATATTAATTCTTTTGCGCACACCCGGTGTGAATAATATTAATTCTTTTGCGCACACCCGGTGCGAATAAAATGAAATCTTTTGCGCACACCCGGTGTGAATAATCACTTCCAATGAAAATACATTAAATCAATATTTGTCCTGTGCTGTCACTTGCTGAAAAAAAAGAAAGTCATACAAGCGTCTTGTCGGGCTCGCCATCGTGACCAGTCAGTGAACCTGCGCATGTGCATCACATTGTGAGTACCAGTTGGGGTCACTAAAGTTCATTCAAAGTCTGTGCGCTGCGAAGTATAGGGCTCCAGAACGCGGGGATTATTTATTTTTTTTAAAGGTACAGTCGGGGGAGGGGTGGGGATGAAGGCTACACCGGATGACAAAAAGTGAACTTGGAGTTCTGAACCTCCCGGTTACCCTGTACGTGACACAGAGACTACATGCCCGGTTGCCGGTTACCGTACACGTAGATATTGAGGCTACGTGCCCGGTTGCCGGTTACCGTGTACGTAGACACTGAGGCTAGGTGCCCGGTTACCGTGTACGTAGACACTCCGTTCCAATAATCTAATCAGTAATTTTAATCAAGACCAAGAATCTCTCTGGTTTAGTATTAGATCTAGGCTAAGTTAGGACGTAGACAAAAATTCTCATTAAAAAAAAAATTTCTAGCTTTATTTTACAAATCGAAGTGACTATTTCTCAGAATGTTTGGGAAAATAAACTTTAACTTTATTTCTCCGAATGGTTTCCGTTCTCGATATTTTTTGGCGTTATCTTTCATTATTCTGCCATTCTGCGAGGACTTGGAAGAAGCATTTTTTTGCATCGAATTAAATTTTTAGAGCTAGAGATTTTTAAATGTCTTAAAGATTTTTAAATGTCTGAATATTCAGATACTTCAGTAACTGTTGTGGTTAGGGCAACGTTCCCGGACTATACTTCTTTTGAAAATACCTTCAAAAGGAACTGAGAGAAAACAAGACTGATTGACCTTGGCAGTAACTTATTTTGCATTTAGTCACCCTGCAAAAACTAAAATCCTTCAAGTAAAAAAAAAAAGATCCCTCCACGCCCCGTTCACACCTTACACACACATACACACACACACATACGCACACTCACACACACGCTCATACTGGCACACTCACACACATTTACGCACACGTACACACACTCATACAGCCACTCCATTCGCTATTATTAACAACAAATCTTGAGAACAGAAACCGTTCGAAGAAATAGAGTTCAAGTTTATTTTCCCGAACATTTGGAGAAATAGAGCCGGCCTTTACAAAATGCTGTCAGTTCTAGAATAGATAAAGTGAACATGTAGATTTTAGATCAGATCTAGATCTAGCTCTGATCTGATTATCAGGCGCCTCCACTGTGTATATAAGGCCATGTACGTTTATAGGCTATATAGATCTAATATTAGGCCGGCACTATTGGAAACGCCACGTTCTGAATAGCTACCATGCTATTTGAAACACCAGTATTAGTCTAGTAGCCATCGTTTAATAACCTACTTTTCATCGCTCGAGCTGCGATTTTGGGGGGGGGGGGAGGGTTAAGTTTTCTGACAATATAAGATTTTACTTTTACTCTGAAGGTAGGAAATAAGAGGTGAGTGTTCCAGGAAGACAGAGGAAAATCAGTCGATTTACTAGTACGGATTTTGTCATTCCCTGGCCTTTGTTTGGTGTTGTGCATCGTGCATTTATAGGCGAACACCAAAAATAGTAATGTACTTCATCCAGTGTCGAGGTATCCTGTCCCCGAGATTCGGTTGTCGTTGCGTGGATGACACACTGATGACAACGACCTCCTTGACACGGCGCGGGTAATTCCGTTCCCTTTCCAGGAATGGGCTTTTCACTTGTTTACTTGTGTTTATCTGTGTGAAGGACCGACATCACTGCACAAGGGGCATTCCCATAAGCGCTCCGTCCCCTGAAGAAGCACATCTCAAAGTGTGTAGATGCTGACGGTTCCAAGTAATGGTTGATTCTATATCCTTCTGCTCCTCCCACTCAGTCTTGAACTTCTGTAGGCGCCCCATCCAATTTCAAGCTCACGAAGTCGCTCAAATGATGGTATTCCGTCTCTTCTTGTTCTTTTTCTCTTTTTTCCTTGACTGACCGTACAATTTTATGTTTGTCAGGGCACAGCTTCCCTTCTGGTTTTGCTTTCCCAGCGAGCTCATCAGCCCGCTCATTCCCCTTGACTCCAGCATGGCCCGGGGTGAAGATCCACTTGATCTTTTTCAGTGTTGTCTTCTTCAGGAGTTCTATCCATTCAGCTCTAAGGTTCCCACTTTCAATCTTCCTCAGAGTGCTCTGAGAGTCTGTGACAAAGATCACATGTGCTTGTCGAGTTGTTGTGACCCATTTGAGAGCCTGAGTGATGGCCTCTATCTCCATTCTCATGCTAGATGTTGTCATATCATATGCTCTCTGCTGTTCCTGCACCAATCTGCCACTCACTCTTGCTGAGAAGCCCCATCCAGATTTTTCCCTCGTTTAACAGATCCATCCGTGTATACAACCACATCTCCGTGCCGTGAGTTTTCCTCAATCAGTTGTCGTATCTCAGCATCTGTCGCCCCATGCGGCCACTCTCTACATTCTCTGTTCAGCGTAATCACTACCTTCCCAAAATCTCCCTGCTGTCTCTCATTCATTTTTATCCATTCTTCACCCCGCTTTATATCTTCCAGCGGGCAGACTTCCTTGATGGTGTTTTCAGCCTCAGCCATCCAAGAAGCTCCTCGTTTTAGGCGATTTCCCTTGATTGCTCCAATGGCTTCGTGAAGTGGGTGTTGCTTATCCGCCGCCACTGTCATGTACGCCCTAACTTGAGCTGCTTTGTGCCTTTTTTCCACTGACATGAGGCCCAATACATGCCTCATACAGATAATTGGCATATCCCTGGTGCAGCCTAGTTTGATGCGCATGGCTTCATTTTGAACTCGCTCCAACTTGTCCAGTTGGGTTTTTGTCAAGGTCAATATTCCGAGCCCATAATCGATGACTGCCAAGACCAGCTGCTGATACATAAGAAGCAGTAGCCTTTGTTCCATTCCCGACGCCACCATGACCTTCACTGCATTCAAGCCCTTCTTTGCCCTTTCCACAACACCATCTATGTGATCTTTGAAGGAAAGACAGCAATCGAAAACCACTCCCAGATACTGCATCTTTTCAGGGATAGGCGAAATGATAAGCTGAGAGAGAGAGAGAGAGAGAGAGAGAGAGAGAGAGAGAGAGAGAGAGAGAGAGAGAGAGAGAGAGAGAGAGTGAGAGAGAGATGGATGAGAGAGATGGATGAGAGAGAGAGAGGGGGGGGGTATCTGGTATGGAAGATAAAGAGAGGGGGATATGGGGGAGAGAGAGGGGGGAGGGGTATGGGAGAGAGAGAGGGGGGGGAAGGGATGGGTATGGGAGAGAGAGAGGGAGGGGGATGGGTTTTGGGAGAGAGAGAAGGGGGGATGGGGTTTGGAAGATATAGAGTGAGAGAGCGGGGGGTATGGGAGGGAGAGGAAGGATGGGGGAGAGAGAGATAGAAAGAGAGAGGGGGTGGGGTGGGGTTTGGGAGAGAAAAAGAGAGAGAGAGGGGGAGGGATGGGGTTTGAGAGAGTGAGAAGGGGGAGGAGGAGGAGAAGAAGAAGAAGAAATGATGTTGGTTTGTTTGTATTTGTATGTTTCTGATTTTTAAAAACACAGGTTGCACAGATGCCGTCTTCAAACATAGGCAGATGCGATAAAGCAATAGAATACGACCAATGAACAGACATTGTTTTTGTGGATCAAGAGATGTAAGATGGAATGTTTTATGAAACCATTAACTTGACAAGAAGAGAAAGAGGAATGAGGAATAAGGGTCATAATCATGCATCTCTCACATAGAAAACCAACAAATGAAATGGTTTGGTCACCCCATAAAGATGGATCTAAAACCGCCAGCAGCCAGAGCCTACTACTACAACTACAATAGGAATACCCTCATCTATCCAGAGAGCAATCCATATTAAAGTATTATAAAGACATGATACATATTTTAAGTAAATTCATGTTGCTTTATTAGTGTAATGAAATCAATATGTACATGTATTAAAATTTAATAATGTACCAGTTTCAAGAAATTCAACTTGGTAATAATTTTAAGAGATAAATTATATTGAAAGCATCTTTAGAATGAATAATTTATCATCAATCTGCCAATCATAACATCATGCATCATATAGCGATCCAGAGATTCATAACATTCCAACTGCTCACATATAGACTTCAATGCATTCTTAGTTAACAAGACATACTGGTGTTGTTCTTTATTGAATGTGAATGTAATCAGGAACAAAATGTGTTTAAATGAGCATAAAAAGAGGTTCTCACTCTCTGTGTAGGCCTATATCTATTCAAAGTCTTTCAATCTGCTTCTACTCAATATTGGATCAATTTAGGTCCTTGTACAGAACCTTTACACACACAACATTGAAGGTGAAAGTCTCCATCATGTGAATACCCAATATATAACTGCGATGATACCACCTATTACATTTGTCACACCCTACCTATTGGGTTTCACCTTCAGAGACATTTTTTGAATTGCCTACTAAATGCAGGTTTTAAAGTTTATTATGTTTGTGTATTTTCTTTTCAGATTCAAAAACATTTAAAATCCTACTGGAAAAATTTTAAAAGTCAACCTCACAAAGATACGCGGCATCATGGCGAAAATGAAAAGAGCGAGACAAAAATTTCATGCTGCAGCTCAGAAAAGCAAGACAAAGGAGCAGTCATCAAAACAATCGGCAACTGATGGTGATGCGGAGATGCAGGATGATGCAAATATTTCCAGACTCATGATGGTAATGAATGCGTTTAAGTTTTTGCTTTGTTATTTTAATATGCGAAATATATTTCATTGTGGAATTCAAGGTCTCACTAATATCATGAGCATTTTAAATCTTATAATGTAAAGTCAAAGGATCACACTCGCCCCTCCCAATACATCAGGTATGGTTCACATTGACTAATATTATAACTTTATTTTTGTGGACCTTTTGCAGTTTTCGTAGTGTAGTACTGTAATTTTGTTTCAGAGAGAGTTGTTTTTTCCCCTTTGATCTTGATTCCAAATTGAAAATGTAAGGTTAGTTTTGATTGCAGTAGTAGTGCTGGGAACTGAATTGACCGTTTCAGAAGCAAGCATTTAATGATCAGTGTTCATTTGGCAGCAGCACACACACACGTATTGTATGTCTTTTTAAAAAACTGGCAATGCCAGAGTCCTACTGTGGCCAGGGAATACAGTTAAAGACCTTCAGCAATGTGCTAATTAATATTGAATGTTGGGAAACTCTCAGTGAGATACCATTTGATACCCTGTTAGTGTTTTTACTAAGAAAATAGGACTAACTCAGACAAAGAGAGAGAGACTGACAGAAGTTTGAGGGGTGGAGGTTTGACATCGCCACTGTGCCCCTTGTTTTTGCATCTATAGCCAGTTTGAACTTACTTATATGGTGAGTGAGTACATACTGAGTGAAGTCAGAAATTGTGAGGGAGAAAAATGTCAGCAAATGCATCCCTTTCTGCAGTTTACAGAACAAGCTGTTTCTTTCACTGAGTCAGAGTTTGTTGATCCTTCAGGGACTATTTTGATGAAAGATGTAGTAGCAGTAATAACGTTCATGGTTGAGTGTAAAATATATTCTGTTGAATCTGCTGGTGTGGGGTGAAAAGTATACGGTATTGTTTCTTAAATTTGAGCGCTGGAATCACAAGGCTGGTGACTGTTCCAAAAGTAGATCTGTATGTATTGGTCTGTAAAACATGCGTGACTCCTCTAAAAATTGCTGCTCTCAAACATGGCTTGTGGTTCATTGATGGTGATTTTGGAGCACTCTTTAAAGATAGGTCAACTTTCAGCTGGGATTTACTTTATAGGATTCATGGGCAATTTCTTCAGCCTGATGATAGTCCTTCAGTGCCTCTCATCCGTCAGAAGTACTAGAATGCTTTTCTGGGAGAATGCAAATAAAGATTGATTCAGTGAGCTGAACACCATACTTCTCAATTCGTTGCTTATTCAACTATAGCATGAGAATAAGATAGTTTATTTAATCAACTTCACTTTTAGTTCATACGTTGGAATTTGGAAGACTTTGTTCTGCATTATATATAGTATATGCCCGTGATCGTCTCACTGCCGAGTGCAGACTTCAGTGATTTTCTTTGTATTTCCACAGCCTCCCCCCTGTGCCCCTGCGGGTGTTCCTCACGGTGACAGCTTGTTCAAAGACGTCGACCTGTCAGGGTTGCACCTTTTAAAGCAGAAACTACCAGATTTTGATGCCTGCAGTTCAGTCACTAGTAAAACTTTCAAAGGTCAAAACTTAAAGAAGAAAGAGAAGCTTCAGCTTCGAAGAGAAGCATGGATGGCCAGTGAGTGCTTTTGGTTTAAAAAATACAATTTTGTCTTTGTTGAATTGCGGTCAAACTCGGCATTAACGAGCGTTTGTAATATCTTGTTACTGGATGCTTATGATGCTCTTGAGCCACTTACATCATCAATACAATGAACTGACTAGAGTAACATAGTTTGATGGTTAGACCATCATATGTTCATTATCTGTTCAATTGTGCACAAGTTACACTTCTGTCACTATTCTTTTCTTTCCTACTTTTTCTCCATTGTACCTTGAGGTTTCACGATCCTGTGGAGACATCAGGCTTAGGCTAGCTGGAATACCTCTTAGAGCTGGAAATTGCAAAGCTTCCAAGGTGTTTTTCACTCTCTCAGGCCGTCTTTTCCTTGGTCTTTCTCTAGTTCTTTAGCGAGACATTCTTGTGTTGTATGCTTTTAGGGCAGGTTGAATGCTAGGCATGCAAGTTATCCAAATTATTTGATTATTGCTTTTCAATATGCTGTTGGGTTGTTAAGGTATCCACTACTTCTCTGATAGCTGAGTAACAAATCCTGTCTCTTCTTAGCTTGTTTACAATCTTCCTCAGGCATCTCATTTCACATGTCATGATTTTGCTTTTCTTCACTATTACTGAAATTTAAAATGGAAGCTTTGTAGGCAATACATTTTTCAAATCACAGACTCTTTAATTTAAAGCTATAAAATGAGAATGTTTTTGTTTTAATTTCAGAAATGGATTCTATCCAAAGTGCCAAGCAGAAAAATAAGCAGAGGAAGCAAAAACAGAACACTCCCATAGTGGGAGACCTTACTCCTATGGAAGATGCTTTGCCCACACTAGAACTCCTCCTCAAGAAATCAGCACCCCTTGATGCAAAAAAGTGAGTGACCTTTGTGAAGTACATTATGTACATACTGCTCACTATAAGTGAGGGGTACCAGTTAAATGAAATTAAAAGCATAACTCACTGGGATTTAACTACACGGTATGATTTAGTTGGAATGTTCATGGCAGAGATGTGCCTCTGTTCTTTTCAGAGCAAGAAAAAGGGATTGGCCTTCAATTTTGTTGAATCGGAGTATACATTAACTCTCTTGGGCCTGGGCTATTTTTCACCCAACAACCATTGTTGCAGCCTGACAGTTTTGGGGTATATATATATTGAATTGTTAACAGCAAAAAGACCGAAGGCTATCATGATTTTTTTTACTGCAACAAAAGAAAGAAAGAAATGCTCTCACAGAAAAATAAAACTGCATCTGATTTATTCGAATTGTTTTTATATCAATATTTTAAAATGGCAATGTCTTGGGATTAAGCAATTTGTTTTTGCGTCAAATTTATAATAAAATCATCTATGGCAGTGCTCCGGTGACTGATTTAGTCCGTTATTGCCTAAAAAAAAGTATCGCACATAAATTAACCAAATTTTTAGCGAAACGAAACAAGTAGGTTAAATGTTGGCTCGCCGCTTCGTGTAGCTTGTAACTGAAAAACACAGGCAATTGATAAAGCGCATCCCTTAAATACACCTCGATTAGGCCGCCGAGCCAGTGGGGCTTCCCGTAAACACACTGAAATAGGCTCAAGTGAGTTAATAGCAATGTGAACTTTTGTGATCATAAATTGCAAATCCCAGTATGAGCTGTGTGAAAAGCCTGATTAGTTAAACTGCATGACTGTGTTATGTGACTTGTTTTTTTAACAAGATCCGGTGTAGGGCCTAGCTGATGGCGGCGTTAACGTCTTGGTGTCGATACCCAAAAACGCTGATGGGCACCCCAGGCGCGCGAGCACACACACACAAACACACACGCACACACACACAAACACACACGCACACACACAGACAGCACGCAGGCACATGTGCGCACACACACACACACACACACACACACACACACACACACACACACACACACACACACACACACACACACACAAGTGTTGTGCGCTCTGTGCGCTGCGTGGGTTAAACGTGTTAAGTTGGCTGTATGTCTGATGTATCATCAGTCGGGTGCACTGTGACTGATGAACTCTAGAGATAGAACAGACAAATTTCATTTGAAAGAAAAATGCAGGATACCATATAAATGGGGGAGGGGGGGATGTTTGCCCTGCAATGGACTTGGTTGAGCTTGAGTTTGTTCATTTATGTGTTCTGTGAATGTGGGTTATTTTGTTGAATTTAACTCATTCGCTACGTGTTATTTTTGGCTTGTGGACGAATTTTTTTCGGGAGGGCGAAATGAGATGATGACTAGTGCGCAGTTCACAGGTCTTGGGGGCCATACATTCAAATAAATATCAACATATTATATACCAACATTTTCAGTATGGTTTGTAGAATATATCTGTATTGTTTATTTGAGTATTTTTCAACTTTGGTTCCTGTAAGAGGCGATTATGCAACACAATTGTGATTGGCTGCGGATAAAATTTGAAAACAAAAAATTTATAATCTCAGATGAAACTCAAAAAATATGTTTGCACCTAGTCAAATTATACATCAAAATAACCATAACTGTATATATAGAACAGGAAAATATTGAAAAATGAGCAGTTATTTACATACATTCCATAATATTTGTACATTTGGATCATAACCTCCGATATTGAAAAAAAAAATTTTTTAAAATAATTTTGAAAAAAGGATCCCAAACAGAAAAAAAACACTCTTATCTTATATGGAATTATTCAGAATTGCATTTGGAATAAACCTATACATGTCTGCGGTGGTACCTTTGAGTAAATTCACCAAAAAGTAGTGATTTTGGGGAGAAAAAAAATATTTTGGCTATTTAGATCTAGGCCTAGATCTAGCACTCAAAAATGTTGATTTCTCAATTACAGTGCACTGGCAATTTGATTCCAGTAGTATCAATATTATAAAGAAGAGTCCTACACTTTTTTAGTGAGCAAAATAATAATACATTTTGTTGTGTAAAAGTAGTAAGACTGGTGTCTGGGCTATAATTTGGACTTCTTGATCAAACAATGTCGCATAAACTTCGAAATCGTGTTTCAAAACTGAATCAAAACTTCCGATTTTCGGTGGAAACGCTTGACCCGGAAGTCAACTTTATATTATGACCTTTATTTTGACATGGATATGTGGATTGGAATAGAAACCAAGCTAAAATTGAACGTCAGTTCTCGAGCCGTCGGGGGCGGCTTAGCGTACTGACGGCACTCTAGCCGCGCCGCCCGCTACGGCTTGGCGTAGCGAATAAGTTAATGAGTAAAGAAAACAGTGAATCCTCCTTTCATTTAGTCCAAGTTGTTTGTTGTATAAAAGTGTCACTGAATTTTTATTTTGTTTTACAGAGAGACTGACGAGAAATCCAGATCAATACCAAAGGAGAGGAAAAGAAAAAAACAAATGTAAGTAGGGCTTTATCTCTTATTTGGTGAGGTATTGTTCACCCATTTTCAAGTTTGAGTAAATAGGGGATTTTTTATAGTGTATATAATTCTTATTTGCCTTTTACTTCACCTTCTCACAAAAGTTTTTGATGCTTTCATAGCATGGTAAATAAGTTTGAAGCCTGCTTTATGCCTTGCTTGGGTGCAGTACTACTCTTTGCTATTGCTTTAACTCTTTAGGGACTGGGATTTTATGTAACTATGTAAAAATATCCAATGGCATTGTGTGTGTGTGTGGAAAAAGTTTTAATTAAAACAGAATTCTTGCAGTAGCAAGTTACTTTTCCCTCATTACTCTGAGGACTGGTAGGGCAATTTGCTTTATCAAAAGCATGCCTACCCTGAGTTTTTTTGTTGGTGTCCACTGTGTACACTTTCATGTAGGTCTATACTTTGGTTCTCTTTAAAAGATCTTCATTTTTTGCCTCTGCTATAGACATTCTCCTTTCAGTAAGCTGGAAACAGCCGAAAGAAAATGTGTTTAAGTTAATTTTACTAACTGCAGAAATGTGGTCCTTATTCAAAAGCAGTCTTTCTTTAAAAACTTCATGCTATGCCAAGTTTGCCTTTCATATATATCCCATATTTGATGTAGAAAGTTTATGTGTGAAGAAATTTCATCATTTACTTTTGTTGTATTGAAATTGAATGCTTGTTAAACTACTGTATATTTTTTTTCGAGTTTTAAGAAAGAAATGTGAATTTTTCACAAAGAAATCTCTCAAAACCCGCTAAAGATTTAATTTATGGAAATGTGTTAATGTTGTGTGGCCTTCTGCCCTAACAAATGAAACTGGCACTTCGTAGCAGTCAAGTGAACATGGAAGTTTTCCTGTTAAAGAGTAAAAAAACTTATGAAAATCAATTAATTATGTGATATTGATACATTTTAAAAAATCAGTTTGTAAAGTTTGATAATAGTTAAACAAATTTGGCCCCTTGAAAGTTTTATTGTCTCATAAGAGAAAATTTTTTCCAGTTTTCTCTGGCCTCCTTTCATGTATTCTCTCACTGATCTAGCCAAGCCAACTCTTTCAAACATAATGATATGGCGCTACTGCTATTATATCACTAGTGATGAAAGTACTAATGCCATGCTTTCAGATTAACTTACTGAATTCACCCTTTATTTACCAGGCTAGATGACATCTCCCTGTTCCACCGCGTGCACCAGCACCCGATGTTCCAAGAAAACGCTGCTGCCACAATCAAGGACCACTTGAAACATAAGCTGAAGCAAGAAGAACAGGAAATGTGTTCGTGACACATAAACCACTGTAGAGATGTTTATCATGTATCGTGTTGCTTGTAAAAATATGAAGGTTTTATTGCGAGAGAGAGAGAGATAAAGGGGCTGCGAGACATCCCTCCACAGTAATAAACTGATATGCATTGTCAATTCCAGTCTATTTTTAGTATCTGGTTTTATCAATGTAAACAGTTTCCCTAGTAATTTTTCATATCGTTGCCGTCGTGCACAAACCCACTAAGCGCGACCAACAAAATTTTACAGGACAAGCAAAAAACTAATTATTTCTTTTATTTCTTAATATTTTAGAAAACTTTTCAACTTTTACTAATAAAATATGATTCTTCACCTTCTCACATGTTGTTTGGAGTAGTGAAATGAATAATTACAAAGAAAAAGGACTTAAAAGATTTCTGCTCGAGTTTATCGTCGTGCACAGACCCGGTAAGCGCCAAGCGTGTCGCATACCTGTTTTGTGCACAGCGGGTCTGAATTGCTTGTCGTCAGAGGATGTCATTTCAGTGGTTTTGTTTTTGAGTATATTTTGATGACGGCATAATTTGTCATTAAAGAAGAAATTAAAGACATTTAAACATAGAAAGAACCACTACCTTGTCATTGTTTGTTAATAGAATATTTATTTGCCGTTTAAACAATACAAACACACAAACATACTAACAATAAAACACGAAAAAACATCCAGACATTGAGAAAATACGATAAAGCACAATGAGCGATGAAAAAAATAGTGTCATTACCCCCCCCCCCCCCCCCCCTTATTTTTTTCTCTCTCTCGATCTCTATCTGCCAAACTGTCTCTCTCTCTCTCTCTCTCTATCTCTCTCACACACACACACACACCCTCTCTTTCTCTCTTTTCTCTCTCTCTCTCTCTCTCTTTCTCTCATTATTCATTTAATATCACCTTTTCTGTAATTCTGATGTACACACAGCCTCTCATCCTCTCTCTCTCTCTGTCTGTATCATCTTTCACATCTCATTCTTCTCTCTTTCTCTCTCTCACCCTCTGTTCCTCTCAGCTGCAGATGAAATGAATATTTAAAATTCACATATTATACATTATATATTTAGTGCTGAAGATTATCGCAGAATGCATGGTGGTCTTTAGGGATAACGGCTTTTAGTTCCTGGAGGTGTTTGAATTTCACGCCTGTGATCTTCAAGGTCTCTGTGTAAAGAGGTCCCGGTTTTTCAGCGGCTACCTCTGATTGCCCTCTTCCCCGAGGAATATCCTTCCAGTCCTCATCAATTGTCAACTTGAAGGATATGTTCCGATCAGGCGTATAAGGCAACGAATGTCCACCACTTGTGGGTCACCTTTCCCACGACCTGGCCTCACACTTTTGTATGGTCTGAGTTTGGAATAATCCTTGAAAAATGTGTGATTTTGGTACTTGATCTCAAAGGGTCTGGGGTTGCACCTGGCTCTACCCATGATGTCAATGTAGTCCGCCAGCAGGTACACCGGAACACCTTTTGCTGGTCTCTCAATAATACTGAGGCAGGAATCCACTTCCATGTGCGTGTGTCCCTTGACAAGATATTTATGCTCCACTGTCTTACCTGTGCGAGCGCAAAAGTCACTAATAGCATTGGCAAGTACAACGTTTTTGTTTTGATATTATGCATCCATCACTAAAAATGATTATCCTGTCCACTTCGGTTTTAGCGTTTAGGTAATCTACCACACACGATCAACTTCGTTTGAAGTGAGCCCACTTTCTCCTTCATGCCACATCTAACACAGCTCGTCCTTGGAGACTAGATCGTAGACGGTGAAGTTGTGTACTGTGAGTTTTGTTCTGTAGTAGATGGCAGATGCTTGAAGAGAGCGAGCAAGAAGCACAGACTCCAAGTCCATACAGATGGTAACAGCCCTGACTCCGTCAGCTGAACCTTCGAGAGACAGTTTCTTGTCCATCTCTTTCTCAGCAAAGGCTCTTTCCTTCAGTCGCATGTGCTGTGTCCATGTCCCTTCGTCCATGTTTCCAACGCTGTGGGACACACATAAGTCACATAGGTAATTTTGGGGATGATGTAACGCCAAATTATTTTTGTGAAACTCCTCATTGAACACCGTTAGTCCCAAGCCCTTGCGGCCCAGTTCTTCACACTTTTTCAAGTACTCCCAGTGTAAATCTGCCAGAGAACGAAAGTGAGGCTCCAGATAAAGCTTTGCAGAGGTTTTACGACAATAGTGAGATGGGAATTTTGGTAATAATCCAAAGAATTCATTCACCAGGAACACTTTTTCATCACTTTGAACAAGAGATTTAAGTCTGCGTTTGGCAGGGCTTTCTGAATCTGACTGCAAGGAATCAGTGGAATTTCGAATCATCCAGTCTAAAGCTAGAGTACTGGTAATAATAATAATAATAAATAGCATTTATACTGCGCATTTCCATTTCCTAAAAGATGCTCAATGCGCATTACAATGAAAAAGACATCACATCTTAAAAATTAATCGACACAAATGTGTACGTAAAACAAAGTATTATACATATAATATAAATGCATATGTGGAATATTTTATACCAGAAAAAGTCTCGCATTGAGGTTGAAAATGTGTTCACTAAAAATATACAATGCAATAAAAAATTCACGAACAGTCAAAATAAAGTTGAAACGTGAGTAACTAAAACATAAATTCTATACAGATAGAAAAACATTTCCGTTCTCTCTCTCTCTCTCTGTCTCTCTCTGTCTCTCTCTCTCTGTCTCTGTCCCTCTCTCTCTCTCTCCCTCTATCTCTCTCTCTCTTTCTCTCTCCCTCTCTGTCTTTTCTCTCTCTTTTCTCTCTCTCTTTTTCTCTCTCTCATTCTCACTTGCTATTTCTTCAGTCTCACAGTCTGGCATACACATGCATATATATCACAGTACATCATTATGACAGGTATGCTTTTGTGAATAAAAAATGCTTCAGCTGATTTTTGAAAATGGAAATTGTTGGGGCAGATCTTATTTTATATGGGAGTTCGTTCCATACCTGGGGACCAAAGAACAAAAAGGAACGCTCGCCGTATGTTTTGTAATTTTGTTTTGGAGTTTTAAGAATTAGATCGTCAGAGGCTGATCTAAGGGCTCTAGGTGGATTATATAATTCCAGGAATGTTTTAAGATAAAAAGGTGCACTATCATACATTTAAAACAGAGAACGGCAGTTTTGTATTTAATCCTTTGTTTTATTGGCAGCCAGTGTAGTTCTTTTAGAATTGGTGTTACGTGGGCTGATTTCTTTTGTTTCATTATCAATTTTGCTGCTTGATTTTGGAGTACTTGTAACTTTGATAGTTTTTCGGATGTCAAACCGGACAAAATAACATTACAGTAATCTAACTTTGATAAAATGAGTGTTGTTACAAGTGTCTTGGCAGCTGCTTTAGTTAAATAATTTCTTACACTGCCAATTTTCTTAAGCTGAAAGTAAATACTTTTGCTGAGCTGGCTTATTTGGGAGGACATAGACATATCATAATCCAACTGAACCCCTTGATTTTTAAGACTTCTTTTTGAACGAATGGTATGGTTATTAATATCAATTTGTAGCTCTGGAAGATTTTTAATGGCTTTTGTATTTCCACTCAACATTATTTCCGTCTTGTCATCATTTAGTTTCAATTTATTGCTGGTCGTCCATATTTTTAAATCTCTAGTACATTGTTCAGTAGAGTCGACTAAAAGTGGTATTTGATCGAAATCAATAGACTTATAAATTTGAGTGTCATCAGCATAAAGATGGTAATTCATGCCATATTGACTTAAAATATCAGCAATAGGTTGTGTATACATTGTAAACAAGACAGGTCCAAGAACAGACCTCTGAGGAACACCACATCTAAGCAAAACATTTTTTTGTATACACGAACTCTTACTCCACATTTCTTCAAGAAATATTGATATGAGCAGGATCTTTTCGATACTTCCGAAGTTGTCCGCTTCCTCTTCACATTAACCTTGTCAACTAGACCGTTGACGTACACTTTTTTACTCTCCCATGATAGTGACCACACACAGTCAAAAATCTCTGCTCTGTCTTCGTCTGAAAGAGAATTGCACTCCATCCCTTTGCAGGTGCGGTTGCAAGGTTCCAGAAGTTGACGTGCTGGTCTTTGGGCAGAGACATAGCTTTACCCCGACTCCCTGAGAAATCTCTGTTTGTTTCTCTACCAATTTTCAACACCTTTTTTCCCTGGTTTTTGAGTCAGGGTAGAGAATTCTTCATCGGCGGGGACAGCTTCTGCAGGTGGCTCGGGTAGGCATGAGATTGTTGTTAGTACCCTGCTGCCCATGCTAGCAATTGATACCGGGAGGTTGTTGACCGAGTCCACAGGGCCAGCGTCTGATGCTAGAAGGGCGTCGACTGTGTCGGTAGATGATGCTGAGGGGATGTCGGCTGTCGGTAGAGGATGCTGAGGGGATGTCGGTTGTGTTGATACTGGCTACAACTGGAGCTGGAGTAATATCAGCTGTGACAGCAATATGATCAACTGAAACTACAGTGACGTCAGACTGCAACGTAACATGCAGAGAACTCGTTGGGACTGAAAGGACAGGACAAGAAGCCTGCCCCTGAAGCTCTCCAAGAGTGGTTGAGTTTGGTCAAATGTGGTCACTGACGAATTTCTGCGTGGTGTTGAACAAGTATCCAGTGAAAAGTCCGACGTGTCAAAGCATGACACAGAAATATATAATTCTGAGGTTTTGTTCAAGAAAACATTGTCTACTATGTCTTCGATGGCACTTTCTGATACTTCATTAAGCGGCAATATTTTGGGGGAAGAATTTTTGTCTTGACGATCAGCACATTTTTCAGATCTCGAAAGTGACAACTGGACCAAACGTTGACCCCTGCTGAAGGGAAAGATGTTTAGTGAAGAATAAAACAGACGCTCGTTTCGCTTAACAATCCTTGACTGACTGCATGAGTTTTTCAGTATACAGTAATATAAAATTTTCAAGACACAAAAAAGAATTTGGTCTCCAAACACTATAAATGGTCATACAAACCAGTCTTATAATATAACACCGCGTTGAAAGCCGCCAGGCGTTGGCAAAGTGTGTTGATTTATTGGTTACGAGGGAGAACAAATTTGGAATTCTAACACGTTTAGGGTTAACCTGTGATTGGTGTACGCGGGCATTAAAGCTGTTTTCCATGTCCACATATGAATATAGATTTAATGCGGTCTGGCATGTTTGATTTGCTCCTCTTTGCATTTTATCAATATTTACTTTGTTGTAGTTAAGGAAAGAGGCTGCAGTTTAGTTGGAAGTGTGAAAAACATTATTGGTACTTTTTCCATACATGGGCATAGACCTTCCGATGTTTAATGGGGCATTGCATTTTAATTTGACTGTTTGTTGATCTTCTGCTTGAAGTGTGAAACACCTTATTGGTACTTAATCCGTTCCTTCGTCTTGGGCAATGTTCTGGGCTTTCCAGCGCAAAGTACCTTGTTCACGACCCACTATCATGCTAAAAAAAGGGACCCAACGTTGCGTAAGATGGACCGTCAGGCATGACACTATTATTAGGCCCTCTAATATTTCCCAACAAGCGACACGGCGCGACGGCTGATCACGC